CATAATAAAATCACTTAATTCTCATGACTATACTGGAGGAACTATTTTTGTCTCCATTTTATTGATGGGGAAACCAAGGCACAGAGAGGTCAAAGCAATTTGCTCAGAGTCACACAGCTCAGGAGTGGCAGAGTCTGGATTCATACCTGGGCAGTCTGGCTCCAAATCCTGTACACTGAACTCCTTGGCCTGCTGCCCAGTGGTCTGGTGGAGTGGCGTATTTGTGTGTACATGTGTGTGAGTGCAAGTGCATCTGTGTGTGTTCAAACAGCCCCACCCTTCACGTTATGTTTGACCCCATTCAGATTGTCAGGGACCCCATCCTTTTCTGGGGTCCTCTGCTGGGTAGAGTATAACTCCCAACCCCCAACCTGTCCACCTCATCAGTGCTTCACCGAGGCCACCATAAAAAGGTAGTGGTTTCCATGGATATCCGTCTCCCTCTGGTGACACACCCTTTTTTGTATAACTCTGTTCCCTAGAGTTGATTGTTTTTGGCACGCAGCTCTGTAAACTCATCCAACAATTAAAAAAGGAGGAGGGGTTGGAACAAAAAGGAGACAGTAGCCATGGGGTGAACGACATGTGGGAAGGACCTCTGGGGTATGGGTCTCTGCACTGTCCCCTGCAGGATGGTACTACGGGCAGAAAGGCCACAGAACCAGCTGTCTGGGAGTTGTGCTTGTGGAGTTCTGGTTCCTTCCAATGGAACTGTGTTCTTGCCCTCTTTCTTCCTCCTTCAGAAATCTGAAGTGGCCCATTCTCGGGGCCTACGCAGTCATCTCTGGAGGCCACCTGAAGCTGTGAGATGCCAACTTGGGCCGATTGAATATCTGCGGCTCTTGTTTTGGTTAATTGTGTATGTTTGCTTTGCTGTGTACCATCAAATACTTACTGCACTGGGCGTACCCGTCGTAGGCTGTGTGAGATCACAGATGAAAAATGCAGTGAAAAACACTTTCGTGCCACAACACATCGTGTAGGATTTTTGTATTAAGATGTGGATTTTTTTATTGTTTTTTTTTTTTCCTTTTCCATACAGCCCTGAAGTTGGGCAATATGCATGTCTGTGTTTTTGTTTTCACTCCGGGTGGTTTATGAAATCTGCTCATTAGTGCTCTGTCCTCTCTCCACCCCGCCTCATCTTCCACCATCTAGCCTGGAGAACGCAGATCTTTCCCCGCCATCTCTCAGTGTCTTCTCGCCTTTGAAGAGAAAGTGGGGGCCTCCCTCCCTGTTTCGCATTCACCCAGGTGAAAATCATGGAATCCTGTAGCCCCGCTCCCTAAACCCAAGACTTTGAAACAGATGATCATGGTGGTGGGAGGTCCTGATCTTGGGGAATTTCTGCCTCCCCATGGAGGATGAAGCCCCTCAGCTGGAGAGAAGAGGCAGAAGTTGCCCCATCCCCTCAAGAGCTCCTGAGTTAGAGTGCCCCTCTCCTGGGTGGCTTCCTGCCCCCATCCTGTCAGATGACAGGTAGTGATGAGCTGCCCACAGCTGGGACCTTGTTCACAAGGCAGGGTCAGGTGCCCCTCCCACTTGCCAGGTGTGCTCCCGTAGGTCTGGCCTCCCCCAACTTTAAGCTCAGCCAGAAGTGCCTGAGCATAGCTGCCATTGCCTTTGGCTGTGATCTCTGATCACATCCTGGCAGCTCTGGGGAATTTGCTGGAGATTGTTTGGAGGCCAGGAGAAATGAGATTCAGGAAGGGAAATAGCATCAGGTGGGGGTGGGTGCTGAGATCCTGGAGAGGGAAGCAGGAGGAACTTTCAGGTGGACCTTGGAGCCTGCCAGTCCAGGCCTGGCTTTGGCACCTGAGCCCATATGACCTTTGGCAAGTTATCTTTGTGCCTGTTCTCTCTAATCTGTCAGTGGGGACTGTATTGTTCCTGCTTTCGTGTTGTAAAGATTTAGCAAGATCAGGCCGATATAGCACTTGTACTGGTGACAAGTAGGTGGCATTTAGTGAGTTAATGTCATTAGTTCTCATGGAAGCTGATCCGATCTGCAGAGGGATCTTGGTCACACAGTAAATGCAATTCTTCTTGGAATCGTTGAAGGAGGGTCCCTGAAAGTTATGAAGTCATAGGGCTAATGGAGGAGGGGAAGAAACCAAGGCACAGGCTGAGGCTTCGGGAAACTAAGCAGAATGGAGTGTGAAAGTGGCCAATGAAGCATTCTGGCGGAGACAAGGGAGAAGCTGCGCCAGGTCCATCTGAGTCTGACATGAAATCAGGGACTAGTTCAGCTCTAGCAACACTTACACCGCCCACCATGGGCCAGCTGTTGTGCTAAGTGCTGGCGACGCAAGGATAATTAAGACCTGGTCTCTGCCCTTGAGGAGTTCAAAATCCAATGGTGGAGACAGACTCGTGAACAAATTACTTTAGTCTAGTATGGATTTTAATGCTGGGACAAAAAAAAGCGATGTACAAGTAGTGAAGAAGAGGGACATGTGGACCTCCTTGGGGTACATTCTAGAAGGTTACGTTGCTGGGTCTTAGAGAAAGAGGTGGTGGTGATCTGGGCATTTCTGGAGTATCCATTAAGGCCCTTTCCCGTCCCTGGCTGGCAGCAGACTGCTGGGCAAGGAGGACGGCCTCTGTCCTTCCTCCTCTCCTTGAGTTGACTGGTGAGGACACTGAGCTGTTGGGAGATTAGTTGGCTCAGCTGAGGGCCCTGGTGAGTTAAGTGGCAGAACCATACCTCAGACACACATCTTCAGGTCCCATAACTGCACTTGGCTTCTCCTGTCTTCACCCTGGGGCCGCTGGTCAAAGATCCCTGCTCTGGGCTCTGCACCTACTGACTGGGATTTGTGCTGCTGCCATGACCCCCGGGGCCTGTGCCCTGTTTGGTAAATGGGTCAGGCCACTTGGTTGGGGACAGTCCCGGAGCAAGGTTCCACCCTGATGGGGATGGAGAAGACTGAGGAGGAGGAGGCCTGGCCACACCCTGCATTCGGTTGTTTTTACTGCCAAAGCTGAAGGTTCCCTCTGGCCTGGACAGGCCCCTTTGTCAGCAGAAAGAGACAGACAAGGATGGCCAGGGTCTGGAATACACTCTTTCTCTGTAACTGGAGCGGGACACAAGACACTGGATAAACTACTGGTGTGCGGTCAGACTTCTAACTCCTTCCAGGAGTCTCAGAGGTAGACGTATTTCTCTTGACCTTTTCCCTAGGGAAATACGCATGTCCACTTGCAAAGCTGGAGTGGAGTGCGGCCCCTATGTTCCATGCTGGCTTTTAGGTGGGGCCTTTCTGATGGGATACTGGAGTGGAGCCTCACCTCCCACAGGAGGGTGTTCTGGGGGTGGGAGCTTTAGGTGGTCTGAGGCACCCCTTCCTGTAGCCCAAAGCCATTTTGGGGTGAGTAGGCTGCCCGGACTGTGGTAGACTCTGTACTAATGAGCAGACTTGTTTCAGAGCTCTGAGGAGTGAGTCTCCCAGTGGCCCTGAAGTTCCCATTAAAGTGTTTTTTCCTCTTTTTTAAAGAAAAAAATATTCCCAAACTGGAAAACAAAGGAAATCCACTTCCCCCAAATCACACGAAACTCACATTAGGGGCCTGGCGGGAATCCATGGAAACCAGGAAGCCTGCTGTTAACCCTGTGTGGTGCTGAAGGGTGGGATGGGAGCAGGACGAACCTTCCCCCGGATGGCGGTCACCATCCATCCCTGTTTCCCCTGGGAGATGGTGTTGATGGCATTGCCCCAGCAGAGGGGAGGAGCTCACCTTCAAAGAGCAACTCCCTTTGCTCAGGCCCACCTTCAGGAGGAAGGAGAGGAGGGGCTCATGCTCCCTGGGGAGGCCCCTTGGGGACTCTGAGGGCTGGGCCAAGTTGGAGAACCTGTTGGGTAGCTGCCCACTCCATGCCACACTGTGCAGTCAGAGCCAGGCCCACTCACACACTTGGGGAAACCCACAGCCACTATGGATGCTGCAGTCCCCTGGTAAATAGAGAAGGATAGGACCAGAATTTCAGTGCCAGCTGTGCACGCAGGGTGGGTGTGAGTGAGTGGAGAGCACCCTTGGGGTTTCCTGCTCCCCTCACTCCCATCCACGAGGTGGGGCCTCGACACCCAGGAGGTTGTGCTAACCGTTGGGTGGTGTGTTTTTGTTTGCACGCACATTGGTTCATTTTTTTCTAAAAAGGCTGAAAATATTTACAGGTTTGAAGTTGAAACGCAAACAGGAAAAGCCCTTTAAAAAGTGAGTGTAGTGGATATTCAAAACAGGAATCACCATGGAAACACCACAATATTTGCTTAAATTGACACAAAGGTTGCCGGTAGTAGGGCTCCAACTTTCTTTGGCCATTTTTTTTTTTTTTTTTTGGCTCAGCACCTATCACAAGTAAGTCTCGGCAACCTCCTCGGAGTGCCCACACCCTCTTTCCTCTTTATGAGATGAAATAGCGCAGTAGCAGAGTGGAGGGTGGAAGTGAGAAGAAACCAAACTCACCGTCCTGGGTAGTTGCAGAGACACCTGCTAATTCTCTTTTTAGAGACTCCCACGGGGATCCTGGGAACAGTTAGGAGCTGGCCCAGGGAGGGTCTGAAGGAGCAGGGGTTAGAGAGCCCAGAAGTTTGCCTGGATCTGATCTGTTTCTATCCAGTCTTGGTTTGGTCCACCGTCAGGCTGACCTTTCACCCCAGGTGCCAAGCCTTGGGTGTGATCCCTCTGTTGTTACCCAAGGTGGCACCTGATTGGCCTAGTATTGTTTCTCCCTATTTGATTCCTTTATTAGGTGCGATGTTGCATAGTAATTGACTAGTAATTGTGCAAAGGGTGCATTGGTCGTGGGGTCAGGCATGACGTACACTGAGACAATGCCATCTGGTGATCGGCAGGCAGGGTCTCAGAATCTCCTGCCTCAATGATTGGCTACCATACACGATGTCGGACATTACCTCCATTGTCTTTTATGTGCAGCAGCTTTGTGGGTGCTGACTGCGGCCTAATCTTCTGTCTTCCTTTCTCCTTTTGGTAGGCACAAAGACCTTGCTGACACAGGCAGACCCTCTCCATCTGACCTGCCCTTCCAGCTGCCCCGGCCATCGATCCCTCCTTCTCAACACCCTGGTGGTGTGTGTTGGAATGGACTTCGGACCCTGTCCTCTTGGGATGCAAAGGTAGCCTTTCTCTGTTACCTGAGATGTCTCTGGGAAGTATAGGCTGGCCATTTTGGGTTTTTTTTCTTAGAGTAGGGTATGTGGAGGCCCCAGACTCACCTTTCTCAGTTGGTTCTAAACCTGGATGGTGGATGTGCTAGAGGTAAAAGTGAAAAAAATGCCAGATTGAGAAGAGAACCCAGGCCTGAGAGCAGGACTCTTCCATTTTGGCCGGAGCTTTGCCATCAACTCACAGATTGCTCCCCTTGGAATTTCAGTTTTTTCACTTGTAAAATAAAGAGATTAGACCCAATGATCTTGAAGAGTCCTCCCAGCACACTGAATGGTCCATAGCAGGTGGGTGTGTCAGCAAGGCCCCCTACCCCGTCATGTGCCACCCCTGGGTCTAAGCAGTGGGTTCTGAACTTTGTTTTGGCAGGTGCAACCTTTCTGGATGTTCAAAGGCAGCTCTGCCCCGAGTTCATGTGTGTGTGTGTGTGTGTGTGTGTGTGTGTGTGTGTGTGTGTGTATGCCAGCCTGAGTGGCCTGTTAGGGCTCTTAGATAGCTTCAGTCCAGGCAGGACCTTCCTTAAAGGAGAAGCTGCAGGTGTCTTTGATCCAGGTATAGAAATAGTCCCTTGCCTATGGCAAGTCACTACTGGGCTTTGAACTCAGGCCTTGTCCTTGCTCAGCAGGCACCATTTGAACCAAGCCTCCAACCCTTTTAACTTTAGTTATTTTTGTGATAGGCCTGAGCTGGCCTGGACCACAGTCTTCCTACCAATACCTCCTGTGTGTAGCTGGGATTAAAGATGTGAACCCATCATACTCAGCTCATTTTGTTGAGATGAAGTCTCACTAACTTTTTGTCCAAGTTGGCCTCAAACTGCCATCCTTCTGATCTCTATCTTCTGAGTAGCCAGGATGACAGGCGTGTGCCACCACACCTGGCCTATACTAAGTCACTTCTGCCAGCCCTGGGGAGTCTGTGGGGCTGTACTGTCAGATATATACCTGCAAGTATCAAACATGGCAGTTCTTGGGGTAAGAAGTTAATACACAGCAGGTGACTCATTGCATACTGGTCATTATTCAGTATTCTCTTGATATGGCAAGGGAAGCAGCCCAAAGGGGTCAGGTGTCCAGAAAGGTGATAGGCAAGGTCTTAGGGTGGAGCCTGAGGTGGGAGTGTCTAGAGGGTGTCTGGGAAGGGAAAGGCTGGGACCCGCTCCTCCTGTGTGTGTCAAACTGTAGTTAGCATTCCTGGCTCACCCATCTGGGCTCTGACCTCCCACTGGCTCTCAGGCAGGGTCATCCTGCCCCTCCCTCTGTGGCCTAGCCCTGCAACTCTGGACTTTGAACTCAGGAAGGAAGCACTTATAGACATGGGTGCCTTGGTGCCCACTGGAGTTTGAGAGGTCCCCAGAGCTGCAGGCCTGTTTCATTTCAGGCCATGCCTCCTTGGGGACTAGCAGAAACCCTGGAAGCAGCCCAGGGATTTGCAAATCAGATGCAAATGTGGCTGTGGTTGTTGGGGTGGACCAGCCAGGTGACTGAGACTCTTCTTCCTGGTGTCTAGAATTCGATCACACTCCAGGAACTGAAGTTCTTAAGGTGTGTTGCTCTTGTCCCCTCACAGTGGTGACAGCGCTGGTTAGACTGTTGCTGGAAAGGGCTGTCCCTGTGTGGGGAGTTTGGCTGAAGTCTCTCTTGGTTTCAGTGCTAGCATCTGTACCTTTTCACTGCCTCTGGGGCCCGCCTGTGCCCTGCCCTGAGCAGGCTGTCAAAGTGCCTGTGGAGCCCCTGTGAGGGGCTAATGTTGACCTGTTCTATTTTCTGTAGCAGGCTTTTTTTTTTTTTTTTTCTTTCTCTGGGCAAAACATGCCTATTAGTTTTTCCCTTTCCAAAGTTTCCACTCACTGTTGACTCCCAGGGGCTGTGCCAGTTGGGATTTGCACCCCACACGGGGTATGGGCCGAACAGGTCCGGTGGGACTCCTGCATCCTGGCATCGGCTGTCTCCAGCTTGATAATGAAGCTTGGGGAACTCTGAGGGTTCCGAGAGGGAATATCGTGGTTGAGTCCCTACTCACTTACCCAACCCTTTTTAGTGACAGACTTGGCCCTAAGCTGGGGTCCTCTGTGGCCGGGATGACCTATGGTCTCACAGGTATACTGCCTTACCAGAGTTTAGATGATGTGTGTGGTCTGGTCCACAGGCCTGATCCTGTCTGGCTTGGATTCTCCCCATTTCAGGCAGTTCTACAGAAGGTCTGGTTGCATTTATTCAGCAGTTGTAGAAGGTTTGGTGTCTGCCACTCACTCCCTAGTAAGCAGAGTAGACAAGAAGCCCCTACTGTCATGGAGTTCCAATAGAGGAGGTGACAACCAGCATACCCAGAAAAAGGAAAAAGTCAGACCCCATGCAGAGTGGAAATAGGATGAAGTGACGTGAAGTGACCGAGGGTACTTTAGAGTGAGTGGGACAGTCAGAGGAGGCCTCTTTTGAGGAGATGACAGCTGAGATTAGAGGAAGGGAATGGCCATCTGAAGAGCCAGTGGGAGAATATTCTAGAAAGAGAGAATAGGTAGTTTAAAGCTCCTAAGGTGGGAGGAACCTGCAACATTCAGTGACCAGAGAAGCCACATAGCCAGGAGGTGGACATGGTGGAGCCCAGGATATATAGGACGTTGTGTGCCAGGAGAGAAGTTGGGGTTGTCCCTGGGAGGTTTAAGCAAAGAGGTAAAATAGGTGTGACTTTTGTTTTAAAAAATGGCTGGGTGCTGGGTATGGTGATACAAGCCTGTGACCCCAGCAGCTTGGAAGGCAGCGATCAGGAGGATAGCAGTTCAAGACCATCCCAGGCAAAAAGTTCATGAGACCCTATCCTATCTCAACCAAAAAGCTGGGCTTGTCATTCCAGCTTCATAGGATGTGTATTCATGGGATAGAGGGATGAAGGCCCAGGCTAGTCTGAACAGAAAGCAAGATCCTATTCAAAAAATAACTTAAAGTAGAAAGGGCTTGGGGTGTAGCTCAAGTGGTAGGGCACCTGCTTAGCAAGCACAAGACCCTGAGTTCAAACCCTAGTACTGCCATAAGAAAAGAAAAAGACTGTTGGGGGTACCCTGGAGATAGAGCATCAAAGGAGCCAAGTAAGGGGTGGCAAGGAAAGAAACCAGGAGGCCAGAGGAGCAGTGTCTAGAGCCAATTGAGAGGGAGGATGGTGGCTGGGATGAGAAGGTGGACAGGTGCAGAAGGGAAAAGAGTCTATGTATATGATTAACAGTACTTGCAGGTGGACTGAGTGGGGTGAGGAAGAGAGGTTCCTGGGGTGTGGCCTGTGCCTCTTCCTTTCTCCCATTCCCCACTAACCTGACGGTTCTCTTAGAGAGCCAACGCCCCGGGGAATGGGAGGGCAGCACCATCTTGGAATCACACTGGTTTCTGTGAGAAAGGCCTGTTCGAGCGGGTTGGGCACCTCATGGTGAGTTTTTGGCAGCTGGCTTTGGAGCAGGCTGGGACTTCCATGCTCACTCTCCTTTTGGCTTAAGACTGTACAGAAGCCAATTTGGGACCTTTGCCCCATGGGTTCTGTACTGGGCTTGAGGTTGGGCCTAGAAGGTCATAGATTTTCTACCACTGTGGCTTTAAACGTGATCTGTGTACACAGATCCCTAGGGCCTATCTCCTGCACCTTTTTGGGTCGTACAGGTCCTCAGTTGATTATCTCTGAGAGCTGAGAAATGGGCTTGGCTCAGACCTAGTCATGTGCATGGGACCAGCTTAGCCACAACACAAGTTCACTGGCAGGAATCCTAACAGTCTTTCCACATGGAAAAGTATGAATTGTCATAGACTCCCTGGCAGACTTGATTCCAGCCCTTGTCCCTTTTTCTGGGACCTCTGCCCTGACAGTCTGCTCTCTTGAATCCCAACATCAACATCTGTGTGGGCAGGTTGGGGAATACAATCCCAGTTGTCTAAGTGAGGCCATTCCAGCCCCCTGGACAAGCCCTGTGCAGCGCTGAACACTACTGTGTAGCTTGATAATAGGCCAAAGGCAGGGCTGGCACAAGCTTGAAGTTGTCACTGCTGGCTCCTGGGCCCCATGAGCACTCACTGGTGCTGGCAACATATCCCCAGCCATATGGGCCAGGAAAACTCTGGAGGCCTGACCTCCAGGGTGTGTGACAGGAAGGACAGGCTGGCAGCGTCTTGTGGGGGGCGTCATGGTGTCCCAAGTGAAAAGCAATATGTGGCATAGCAGCTCAGCCCCCCAAGAAGCTCTGGGGACTTGACCTCCAGGGGAAGTAATGGGAGGGAGCAGAACGGCAGGCTGGCTGCGGCTGCCAGGGGCTGATGGGGATGTCCCAGGTCTACAGCTGGTGCCTCAGCCTGGCTCCTAGGGGGATGTTAGCCAGTCTTCCAGTGTGCCTCCTGGCCGTGGGGGAGGGTGCATCTGGGTGGGCAGGCGTGTGTGTCTGTGCATGCGTGGGAGGTTTTTCTGCTCTCTGCCTCCATGGTCTGCACTAGATCCATGACCTTCACTCCTAACTGGACTGGACAGTTCTAATGCCATCCTCCAGGGCTTTGATCTGATGTGAGGCTGGCAGCTCCAGAGAGCGCAGCTGCAGTGGGGGATGTGAAGGGGTGGGATCAGAAGAGGGAGGTGCAGGACAAGGGTTGTGGAGGCCCACATCTCTGCTGCTCTTGGGTGACACGGTACTCTGGGGGATCCAAGGATGAAGCCTCTTTGGGCTGGGTGGGTGCATGACTGGGAGATGGTTTGGGAAGAGTCGCTGATTTTTCTGGTTCTAATTTAGTTGGTGCAGATGCTGGTCTGTAGTAATCTTCCTCAGTTCTCCCTGTGCCTCCTTGGTCCTCCCAAGCACTGGTCCAAGGGAAGCGGATGGCAGTGCCTGCCCTGTATAGACACACCTTGGAAAAGGGGGCTTCTCCATCTGGTGCTTTGGTGGCTCCACAGAGCAGGATGACCCATGGCTTTGGGAGGTTTGCAT